ACTAGCACCATATATGTGAATGTTTTCCAGACACTGAAACTAGCTTTTTTCCCAGACTGAACTCGTAGTCCTCCTACACAAACCTGTTTCTCCTTCTATGCACCCTATCCTAATTAATGATATCCCAGTCCACACGGTCACCTAATGTGGAATCATCAACCACCCTTATCTTTCCTCTGCTCCTCCCCAACCTCACACAATCTGACATGGAGTGACTCTACCTCAGAAATCTCTCTCAACCATTTTTTCCTTCAATCCTCACCACATTGGTAAATTTAGACCTAGGTCAACTCTTATCATGACTAATAAAATGAACTCCTATTTTCTCTACCTCCAGCTTGTTCCCCACCTTCACTGTCACCCATCCTCCATCATGTTACCAAATTAATAAAACACAGATCTGATCACATGATGCTCTTGCTTCAACTCTTTCGGGGACTCCCCACTGACTACAGGACGAAGTCTGAATTTTGTGTGGCTTTCCAATTTCTTGTCAAGATTAATCTACTTTATAGTTCTATATTTTACTAACTTTTAAAATCTTTTCCCAATTCAAACTTACACATTCATGGACCATACCTTTGGTCACACTGAATGTCTTACTATTTCCCCAAACTCTAAGAACTTTTATATCCCCTGGCCCTTTTTATTTTAAATTGTTTCATCCAAATAGAATTTCCTGCTTGAAATATCTGAATGTCCACTCATCCTTCAAAGAGCCATCACATGCCTCATTCCAATATTACTTCACCTACACCCCATTACAGTTCATTTATGACACTATCATAACATGCATTTATAATGTAGTGTGATTATTTGTGTGTGTGTATGTGTATGTGTGTGTGTTCTCCTCTTTTCCCTTCCCCAGAATCTGAGCTCCAGATTTCAAACTTTGATTTATCTTTGTATTTTTATTTCCTAGCTCAGTAAATGTCCATAGGAGATAGTCAATAAGTATTGTTGAATGAACGAACACACTAATGAACCACATTTGAACACGGCTTATAGTGAGTACATCCAAGACAACATTGTGAAAAGAGACAGTATAATATTAATTATATAATGGTTTTTTTTTTTTAATTTTTTGTTTATTGCACTAACATTGGTTTATAACATTGTAAAAATTTCAGGTGTACATCATTGTACTTCTATTTCTGCATGGATTACATCATGTTCACCACCAAAATACTAATTACAACCCATCACCACACACGTGTACCGAATTATCCCTTTCACCCTCCTCCCTCCCCCCTTCCCCTCTGGTAACCACCAATCCAATCTCTGTCCCTATGTGTTTGTTTATTGTTGTTATTATCTACTACTTAATGAAGGAAATCATATGGTGTTTGACCTTCTCCCTCTGACTTATTTCACTTTGCATTATACCCACAATGTCCATCCATGTTGTCACAAATGCCTGGATTTCATCGTTTCTTATGGCTGAGTAGTATTCCATTGTGTATATATACCACAGCTTCTTTATCCATTCGTCCCTTGATGGGCACTTAGGTTGCTTCCAAGTCTTGGCTATTGTGAATAACGCTGCAATGAACACAGGGGTGCATGTACCTTTGCAAATTGGTGTTTTCAAGTTCTTTGGATAAATACCCAACAGTGGAATAGCTGGATCATATGGTAGTTCTATCCTTGATTTTTTGAGGAATCTCCATACTGTTTTCCATAGTGGCTGCACCAGTTTGCACTCCCACCAGCAGTGTATGAGAGTTCCCTTTTCTCCACGTCCTCTCCAACACATGTTGTTTCCTGTCTTGTTAATTATAGCCATTCTGACGGGCGTGAGGTGATATCTCATTGTAGTTTTGATTTGCATTTCCCTGATAGTTAGTGATTTTGAATATCTTTTCATGTGTCTGTTGGCCATCTGTATATCTTCTTTGGAGAAATGTCTGTTCAGGTCTTTTGCCCATTTTTTAATTGGGTTGGTAGTTTTTTTGTTGTTGAGATGCATGAGTTCTTTATGTATTTTGGAGATTAAGCCCTTATCAGATGTATGGTTTGCAAATATCTTCTCCCAATTGTTAGGTTGTCTTTTCGTTTTGTTGATGGTTTCCTTTGCTGTGCAGAAGCTTTTTAGTTTGATGTAGTCCCATTTGTTTATTTTTTCTATTGTTTCTCTTGCCCAGTCAGATGTGGTGCTTGAAAAGATGTTGCTAAGACCGATGTGGAAGAGCGTACTGCCTATGTTTTCTTCTAGAAGTTTCATAGTTTCAGGTCTTACATTCAAGTCTTTAATCCATTTGGAGTTAATTTTTGTGTATGGTGTAAGGTAAGGGTCTACTTTCATTTCTTTGCATGTGGCTATCCAGTTTTCCCAACACCATTTGTTGAAGAGACTTTCTTTTCCCCATTGTATATTCTTGGCTCCTTTGTCAAAGATTAGCTGTCCATAGACGTGTGGGTTTATTTCTGGGCTTTCGATTCTATTCCATTGATCTGTGTGTCTGTTTTTGTGCCAGTACCATGCTGTTTTGGTTACTAGAGCTTTGTAGTATAGTTTGAAATCAGGGAGTGTGATACCTCCAGCTTTGTTCTTTTTTCTCAGGATTCCTTTAATGAACCACATTTGAACACGGCTTATAGTGAGTACATCCAAGACAACACTGTGAAAAGAGACAGTATAATATTAATTATATAATGGTTTAAATTAAGGTACAGTGAACAGAAAAAACAAACCTGTAAGCAGAGTGAAGATGTTTAAAATCCCCTGGGATGTTAAGCAAAGATTCCGTGTGTGACAGTAGATGGGCTAGGTAATGGGCGACGGGTCACAGAGAAAGCTACATGACAACTAAACTACCTCAGTGCTGCTTTTACTCTGACAGAAATATTTCTCTGAAAACCAGTTAAAAATTCAAGTGGTGCTTCTTCCCGTCTTTAATATTTCTGTGCAACTAAATCACAGCTTCACGTTATTCATTGCTAAAAAGTGCTTGGCAAACACGTTGGAATCAACATTAAACAAACCACTGTGTATAACACCCCTGAGCGTCCTGGATCCAGCTCCTCCTGACAGGCCTCTACCTGCAGTTTTCTGTTTCTAGATGTTTGGTTCGGCATCGAGCTCTTGGGTGCTTACAGCCATTCAATTGTCACATCGAATCCAAATCCAAGTGATGATTATGGAAACCGCCTGTGAGACCAGCACATAGCTGAGCGTCCTCTGCCCTGGGAGCTTTCCCACGAGACCTAACTAATTCAATTTGCTTCCTTTCCCAAGAAAACACCATATTTTTGTAAAACAAAATTCTCCTGTAAAACAACCATTCTTTCAGTCTAAAATCAGAACTTTTGGCAAAGGAGGCAAGAGATTGTGAATGTTTCTATAGATGTAGAACTATTTTATAAATATACGTTGTGGGTTCATCCTCTGCCCTTGATGTCACACGAATGACCTCAGTCACTGAAATTAAGACACAGAGTAAACACAGGAGATATTTCAAGCCACATCTCCTGACTCTAGACCTGAGATGCTAGATACATAGTCATTTCCACATGATATGGGATTTCTTTTAAGACCTCGCTCTTTTTACAGTCCCAAGTAGCACCAGTGCTCTGGTTGGTTTTCTTTTCTTTTTTTTTATCATATTTTCCAAATATTTTTCCCAATTTGTTTATCTTTTACTTTTTTTTCCAATTATTTTATTGAGGTCATAATGGTTTATAACACTGTGTAATTTCAACTGTACATTATTATTCATCAGTTTCTGTATAGACTGCATTGTGCTCACCACCAAGTCTAATTTTTATCCGTCACCAGACATATGTGCCCCTATACCCCTTTCACCCTCCCCCAACCCCCTTCCCGTCCGGTAACCACTAATCTGTTCTCTTTATCCGTGTGTTTGTTTATCTTCCACATATGAGTGAAATCTTGCAGTGTTTGTCTTTCTCTGTCTGGCTTATTTCAATTAATATCACACCTTCAAGGTCTATCCATGTTGTTGCAAATGGGACGATTTTGTCTTTTTTCATGGCTGAGAAGTAGTCCGTTGTATATATATACCACATCTTCTTTATCCATTCATCAGTTGAAGGGCACTTGGGTTGCTTCCACATCTTGGCTCTTGTCAATATTGCTGCAATGAATGTAGGAGTGCATAAATCTCTTTGGATTGCTGATTTTAAGATCTTTGGATAAATATCCGGTAGTGGGATAGCTGGATCATATGGTATTTCTAATTTTTTGAGAAATTTCCATACTGTTTTCCATAGTGGCTGCACCAGTTTGCATTCCCACCAGCAGTGTATGAGGGTTCCCTTTTCTCCATATCCTCTCCAACATTTGTTGTTTTTTTGTCTTGTTAAATATAGCCATTCTGACAGGTATAAGGTGATATCTCATTATAGTTTTGATTTGCATTTCCCTAATAATTAGTGATGTTGAACATCTTTTCATGTGCCTGTTGGCCATCTGTATATCTTCTTCGGAAAAATGTTTGTTCATAGCCTCTGCCCATTTTTTGATTGGGTTGTTTGTTTCTTTGTTATTGAGTTGTACGAGTTCTTTATATATTTTAGAAATTAACCCCTTGTCGGATATATGATTTGTAAATATTTTCTCCTAGTTGATGGGTTGTCTTTTCATTTTATTCATGGCTTCTTTTGCCTTGCAGAAGCTCTTTAGTCTGATGTAGTCCCATTTGTTTATTTTTTCTTTTGTTTCCCTTGCCTGAGGAAACGTGATATTCGAAAAGATGCTGCTAAGACTGATGCCAAAGACTGTCCTGCCTATATTTTCTTCTAGGAGTTTTATGGTTTCAGCTCTTACATTCAAGTCTTTAACTCAGTGTGAGTTAATTTTTGTGTATAGTGTAAGATAATGGTCTACTTTCATTCTTTTGCATGTGGCTGTCCAGTTTTCCCAACACCATTTATTAAAGAAACTTTCCTTTCTCCATTGTCTGGTTGGTTTTCATTCTAGGGGAGTTCCATTGTCCTTTGTTCTATGATTCACATCACAATTATTTCATTCCTTCCAGTTGGCAGGTGACTTGATCTCGAACATTTTCACCTCCATCGGCTTGGTGACGTTAGCCTTGTTGTTGATCCTCTTTCTGGCGGTTGCTGCTTCCGTTGTCGCCTCCAACAAAAGGGCAACTCAGGGAACCTACAGCCCGAGCCAGCAGGAGAAGGAGGGCTCTCGAGTGGAGATGTGGAGCACGATGCCACCCCCTGCGATGGAGAGGCTGATTTAGGAGCGTTCTGTCTCTCTGAGAAGGAGATCCACACTCTGAGAACGTGAGGACTGTCCTCCAGTGTTTTTCTGACATACCTGGAGATATCAGTTTACAGCTGGGATTATATTTACACTGTGGGAAGGACCCCTTTGACCTTCTTAAAGACTTCCATAGTGGTTCAACTCGACACCATTGTTTTATTGTGCTATGTTAGACAATCACAGAAGAATGTTTTTGTGCCAGTAATTTCAGCCTGGTAATTAGCAAAAATATCTTCCCGGGGACAGTGTCTTCTGGGAGAAGCTCCAGTCCTGTCATTTATACTCTTTACTCTCTGCAACTTGGGAACATTGTTTTAGTTTGCCCATTAGCTGGCAACTGCGTTTTTTTTACACAGAAACTACAGGAAAAAAAAATAGAATACATTTCTCACTCTTCCTATCACGTGTGGAAGGTTTTAGTTGTATACCTATGATGAGATGTACACGTTTGTCCTTCAGTCATGGATTTGAGAAAGCCAAAGGAATTACTTATGGCTAAAAGGCAACCCAAGGTGAACAAATAAAAATTGAAATGTGGTAGTTCTCCCTTCTGAGTATTTTTTGCATTTTGTGTCATTACATGTGACAAAAGTAACCTCTAGGAGCATTTGAAAAACCTTCTTATGAATTAGGTTTTTTAACTAAATCATCTCAAGCGTTACATTTAAAGTCATTGCTCTTTATAAGGGGTTGCTTGAGGTCAAGACACTTCCCTAGACAGAAAACAAGATAAAAGGAAAACTCAGATTCTCAAATATAAAAGACCAAGCTCTTTCCTTCCAACAGCTTTTTGATAAGTCAGTGTCAAACAGTGACAGAACCCTTATGCACGTCAAGGGGTATGAGTGTAAGACTATCTATAGGGTATGGAGAGAAAATACTGGGCCTTCTATGCACATATTTTTTCTCCAAAGATTTGGTTAGAATTTTATATATGCTTTGAAATGCATATAACATGCTATCAAAGTAGCATATAAGGAAAAACTTAAAATATGTGCCTATATATTTTGGATATATGCTCAAAAAGTGTCATGGCATGAAATCTTAAATCTGTTCTAGAGCAATCTATCCTTCTCAACTATTCAAGGACATCATTCCAGAAATTGACCCTCTCTCCCCCACATCACCAGTTTTCCCACTGTACTGGATCACATCCAATAGCACCCAAGAGGCTGCCATATTTCCTATCATATAAAATTCTCTCCTGCGGCCCACATCTCCCTCCAATTACCAGACCATTCCTCAGCACCCCCTTCAGCAAAATATCCGCAAATGAGTTTTCTGTATTCGCCGTCTCTCCTTCCGCTCCTTCCATTCTCTCTTGAGTTCAAACTAATTTGGCTTTTCTCTGCATCACTCCATGAAATAGCTCAGGTCAGTGTCACCGATGACCTCTACATTGCCAAACGCAATGGCCCGTCCTCAGTCCTCAGCTTACCTGACCACTCAGCAGCCTTTGAAAAATTGTCATTCCTTTCTTGAAATACTTTCCGTCCAACGGGACACCATTCCATCTTGATTTTCCTCTGACCTCACTGTCCACCCCTCTCTATCTCTTTTGCTGTTTTCCTCTAATCTCCTTGACTTTGCTTTATTTTCTTCCATGCCGTTTATCACTCCTTGACAAATGACATGTTTTGCCATTCGTTTCCTTGACTAGAATTTGAGTTACATGAGGACAAGAACTTTGTTTTGTTCTTTCGCTACAATGTTCTCCACCAGACTAACCCATAGAGCACAATAAATATTTTCTGCATAAATGGACAAATAATGAATGACTATTGCTCAAATTTGTGCCTGCCACCAGCAAAATCCCAAAGTGACCAAAATCCCATTGGGTGCTTTGGCTATTCAACTGTCATAGCTCTGTACCCTAATGTCTTAATCTCTGGCTTTTCCTCAAGTTCTAATATTCCTTTACGTGTTAGTTCAAGAAAATGGATGTCTCCGGGTGTCTCCATGTGGAGTATGCCATGGGACATTTTCTTTACTGTTGCGTCCCATCAGAGTTACAACTTCTCAATAAAAGTTTATACGAAAAAGACAGAAAAAGCTCAGAGGAAAAAAATAAGTAGCTGAGTTTAAAAAATTACAAACTGAAAAAATCACAGAGGAGAAGTTGGTGCCATTGGGATTAGCACAAGTAAGAAGAAAAAGATAATTGTCAATGGTGATACCTTCAGTTTAGAGAAGATGTCTAGTTAATCTGGCTCTTCACCCTCTTCCCGGGGCTAGTTTAGGGCTTTGCATAGGAATGCATGCTCCAATATATGCATGAATGAATGCATGCAGGCTGAATAAATGAATGACTCCATGTGGACGCTCCAAACACATCAAGTTCCTTACAGACTGGCCCAGTAAGCTGAACCTCTGCTGCCTGTTTGCATTGCAAGGGTGCCACGCCTTCCATCGAGAGGCAGAATCGGTTTGCTTTCCCTCGAGTCATGTCTGGCCTGCAACTTGCTTCGATCCACAGAATGTCCTGGAAATGACGCTGGGCACAGGAGGCTCACAGCTTTTTCCCCTCCCTTAGATGGCGGCCCTGAGGCTGCCATGCTGTGAAGGAGCCTGGAGTGAAAACACCACGTGGAGAAGGAGGCCCAGCTGGGCCAGTTCCAGCCACCCTGCCTGCTGGATGCGTCCACGTGTGACCCACATGAGACCAGCAGAGGACAACCCACAATCAGCCCACAGAGTCGCAGAGAAATAATGAATCAGTGTTTGAAGCCACACAGGTTTGGGGCCGTGTGTTACACAGCAGTCCATAACTGAGACATGTCATTCACAGCCATGAGGCAACCTGAGGGACACGGCAATGTACATGTGGCTCTGATTCTAATTTCTTTGCCTCCAAAACTGCTGCTCTGGGGACTAGTGGACTATGCAGTATTCATCTGCATAGTAACAATAATTAGTACATTATTAATAAAATATGACAAACGTATGCCTGATTTCTCAGAGTGGGAAATAAGAGTGAAGATCCACTAAATCCAAACACGGCCCTGGGTGGCGCCGGGGGCCACCGCCCTCCCAGGGCAGCTGTTGGCAGGCCTTGGGGCACAGTTGTGAAGGGGACACAGCCTCCCTTCTTCCTGTCCGGGTGAATCCCGGCCAAGGGCACCAATGGAAAGGCACATCTGGTGTGTGTTTACAAGGAATGACAGGAGGCACCTTAGAGTGGCCTCTCACGTGGCTTCTGGAGCCCCAGTGACTGCAAAGAGAGGCAGGAAATGACAAGTGAGTCTAACTTAAATCAGCTGTCGAAGCTGTCCCTACTTTTCTTCCTAGAATTACCTCCATTCAACAGGTGCTCTCATCTGAGGCTGAGAGGGGTACGGCCCAGAATCAGCCCTGGGCAGCCAAAATTATTATTATTACCAATTAGTATTAGTGGTGGTAAGTGAGGAGTAATCTTAGAACTAGAAGGCATCATTGTAACGATAATTTTGATCATGATCATGACCATGAGGGATCCTTTAGGGAGGTCTTGCTACAGTACGTGCGTGATAACTCATGTAAACTTTACAACAGCTCCTTGAAAGAGGAACTTTTATCCTCATTATAAGAGCGTCTGGAGACAAAGAAACACAGGTTTAAATTTCTGATCTGCCCCATGCAGGTGACATCAACTTAGGCTGAAAAATGGAATCATATGTCTATCTCAGAAGCATCTTATGATAATTATCAGTGTGAAATGCTTAACTGCAAGTAAGCACTCAACTCATAGCACCTATTGTTATCAATGGGATAAAGTGGAGCCTCAGGGGGAGGGGTGGCAGCAGAGGCAACATTTCCTCCACCTCCCACCCTATCTGCCAAACACACCAAGTCGGTAACCACTCCTCCTAGCCTCCTTCCCATCCATCATATGATGTATTTGGAAAATGAGCAGGTTTTGTGCAGAGAAAGACTGTTTCTTCATGTCATTCCCGTGCCTCCGAATGTCCCCTGTGATGGCAGAACCACCCACCTGAAGAAATCACTTCATCTGTAGAACTAACATGAACCATACATGCCTCTTGTGTGTTCTCAATAAAATTGTCAGGAAATAAATCAAAAGGTTTCAGGTCTCTCAGTCTCCCAAACAACTAACAATAAGAATTTTTTTTAAAAGTTTTGCTTTACAGAAATGACTTTTTTTTCTTTTGCCAGCCTTTTAGGATCCCTCCCTAAACCTCTTTTGCTAAGGAATCACAGTCGTCTACCCTCAGCAGCAGCAAGAAAGATCGACCCGTGCATCTTGGTTTCAGTCCCTCTTTTGATGATGATTAGCCGCCAGCTTCACCTGGTTTTATGCTCTACGAGGGCCTGATTCAAATCATGAAACTTGTCTCAATTCTGGGGTCAGTGTGACCTTTCACATTTCAACTGGCTTCCAGCAAAAGTGGGACTTTTACTGCTGTGCCTTGTACTGAAGAGTGATGACAAAAATGCATGTTTCCAACGTAAGCCCATCCTTCTCTGATTTGGTACCCAGGCCCTGCTTTACGTGGTTCCAGAAGCCTGGGAACAACATCCATCAAATATATTTGGCCGTACCTGCCTGAGGACGGCTGCTTGAAGAACCAGTTACAGGCTCTCCTCATCTGTGGGGTGACAATCTCCCCTTGGAAACTGCTCCCCAAACTACATCTTCCAGTGCTAAGAGGTGCTCCCAAATTGTAACTTGAGGCTCCAAAATTGGAGCTCATTTAGGGCTGAAATAAAGCAAACCCCAAATGGCAACAAGTATATATGTTGTTAAAAGTCCCCAAAGTATAGGTGCTCAGAACCCTGCTGCGACACAGCCCTTCATGTCACGGACTTGGACGTGCCATAGGTCAATTCATTCAGTGACGTGCTAATATCCAAAAGCCTTCTACTGCATGGGGCAGTTATCTGCAAGACAACTTATAGGTTAGCTTCCTCCTAACAGAGAGAATTCAGAAACCTTATTTTGCTAGGCCAGTCCTGTTCGTTAAAAAAAGAAATTTCTCTCCCTTTGAATAATTTGGGGATGTTTAATTTTGCAAGAACATAAACTAAACAGTAACCACCAAGAATAGGTTTAATTTGAAAATATTTTGTCATATGGAAAAATTTAGTTAAGCCTAACTCCTAAGGTTTCTTTTATGGGGTTTCCAAAATTCATAGGTTTCTGAAGTCCAGAATATAGACATCCCCACACGAACCCAGGCTCAAATTTTCCTCAACGTCTTTGTTATTTTTCTAATGCATTGGTATTTAATTCTCTGATAGACAGAAGGGAAGCCAGAATCGCTGATTAGGGGAGATTCCAATTATGTCGGCTTATTTAGCATTTGGTAGAATGCTATTACTTTGGTAGAATGGGAGGCCTTGTCGTGGGAAATAAAAAATGAAGAAAACATTGCTTACAATTAGAAAATAAATATATTGTCATCTGAATTGATAGAGGCCACTGTAAATCTTTTGAACAATCTTTTGAAACAAAATACAAATTAATTCCAATACCTCTGTCTTGCAGAAACTGGCCACACACATGGATGTGATAAAATTACATTTATTTAGATTTAA